TTCTCAACATGATGACTCTGCTGTGTGCACCGGTTCGCGATGAGGCAGTGCAGAAACTGGAGAACATCACAGACCCTGTCCGGTTACTGAGGTGTGAAGCTTGACCACCGGGCTGGGCACAGCAGGGCGGGACACTGGCTCACTGCTGCGGTCTTGGCTGGCTCTCCCCCACTGAAGACCTGACTGATGCCTCTTCTCCCTGGTTCATGAGCTTTTCTTTTCTGAAGATGGCCTTAGGTTGATCTGGCCCCTGTATGCCTTCCTACCATAGGTCACTGGTAGGAAGTGACCTGGTTCCTTTCTTCCAAGGAACTCAGACACCCCTAAGCCAGGCTTTCTCATTGCAGTTCATACAGTGTGAGGACAGAGATTGGAGACTATCCCTTTTTCAGAGCTATAGAAACCAAGACTCAGAAAGTTAAAAAAAAAAAAAGAAAGTGAATTGTCCAAAAATAGCTTCAGAAGTAACAGCTGCAATCTCACTGCTCAGCGGTTTGTTGCTGTGCTGATATTCCCTTCTACCGACTCTTTTTTTTTTTTTTTTAAGAGACATAGAATGAATGGTGTGGAAAAATCCAAAGGCTGTAACATCCAGAGACTTATTTGTTCCTAGTTCTGCCACTCACTCATTCTGGTCCTTGGGTTTCAGAGGCAAGACTTAAAGCCCCTCCCACCTCTAGAATACAGTGATTTAATGATATCTTGTGTGGGTTCCCCCCCACCCCACCCGGCCACCACTGGGACAGGTAAGGAAACCTCCTTTCATCGTATAAATACTCCATTGTCTCCTACATCAGAGGGATCTTCCAGGTTCTGGGCCTGATGAAAATGGACATGGTGAACTACACTATCCAGAGCCTCCAACCCCAACTGCAGGAACATTCCGTCCAGTACGAACGAGCGAAATTTCAGGACCTTCTCAGCAAGCAGCCCAGTACGTATACAAACCTGAGGGAAAGCAGGGGGAGTGTGACCCTGGGTTCTGACGTTACCACGATGCGAGAGGGAACTCTGCTCTGTGTAGGAACAGAAAGTTTCTCGCTCAGACTAGGGGCGGCAGAAGGCACAGCTATCTTAGCCAGAAAGACTCCCCCGACCAAAGCGTCTCCCTGCTGAGGGGAGGAGATCTGGCCCGAGGTCCCCAGGCCGCAGGGCGGCGCTGAGGGGGCCTCCGTCCCGCAGGCCTCCTGGAGCACACCACCCGGTGGCTGAGCCGCGCGGCCGCAGACCTGGCCGCGCCGCTGCCCAGCGGCCCCGAGGCCGCCGACGCCGCCAGCTCGGCCCGCTCCTCCCCCAGCGAGGCGGCCAACAGCCCGGAGCCCCTCAGCCCCACCATGGTGCTGTCCCAGGGCTTCCTGAACCTCCTCCTCTGGGACCCCGAAGACGACGAGTTCCCTGAGGTAGGAGGGGGCACCCGGCCCTGGGGTGCGGGCCCGCAGGGCCTGCCCGGGGCTGCCCCCTGACGGCCCGGCCCGCCTGCCCCCCCAGACCCTGCTGACGGACAGAGCGCGGCTGCAGGAGCTGGAGGCACAGCTGCGCCAGCTAACCCTCCTGGCCTCCGTCCTGCTGGTTTCCAGCAGCTTCTCTGGCAGCGTCCTGTTTGGCTCGCCTCAGTTTGTGGATAAGCTGAAACGCGTAACCAAAGCCCTGTTGGAGGAGTTCAAGTGCAGGTGAGCTGCAGAGGTCTGTTTTCGACCGTGGTGCTGTGAGGACACAGGCCGCGGAGGCAGGGAGCCTCACGGTCGGCAGACCGCAGGGAGGCCCTGTGGACTCAGCCACAGAGATGCAGGGTGTCTTTCCATAGTGCTCTTGAGGCTTCCTTTTTTAAATTTTTATTAAGGTGTAATTGATTTACAATGTTGTGTTAGTTTTAGGTGCACAGCAACGTGAATCAGTCATGCATTTATCCACTCTCTTTCAGATTCTTTCCCCCACGGGCCGTTAGAGAGTAGTGAGTAGATTTCCCGGCGCTGTACAGTAGGTCCTTATTAGTGATCTGTTTTATATGTAGTAGTGGACATATGCATCAGTCTCAACCTTCCAGTCTATCTCCCTCCCCTTCTTGAGACTTCTAACAAAGAAAAATAAAGCTTTCTTTCAACAGGGCAGTATGGAGGATCATTTACTATGAAATGATTCCTTACCTTGTTGCTACAGAGGAATCTTTCTCTAATTGAGTAGGCTGGTCTTACCTAACTCCTGGAGTCAGCCAGTCAGTCAGCAGTGTTGACTGCGTGTCCGCTCAGTGCAGGGTGAACACGCAAAGGAAAGCGTGGACTCAGAAGGCCAGGTTTGTCATTGTAGTTGGTGAGAGTAGGACAGATGACCATGGAAAATGTCCAAGGAAGTCTTAAAAGTGTACATACATAAATTACACAGCGTTGAAGCATACTGAGTGGATATACAACCCCTGTCCAGAGCTGATTTCATAGTTCATCTTGCTTTCTAAGAAGAACATGGCATCACACAGAGAATACTGTCTGGAGGCTAACGGTGGAGACGCTGCCCCGCCCACTGGGCTCAAGCTCCCAGGGTCTGGGGTGAGGGCGGCAGGGTGGCCGGGCGTCTCCCTGGCGCGGGCCCGGCTTACGGTGTGGAGCTTTGGGGCTTGTGGCTGCCCCCGGGTCCCAGCTTGCTCTCCTCCATGGTCTAGGCCTGAGGAGGAGGCTATGCTGACTGTGAGTGAACAGCTGGCTCAGGAGATCCACCAGAGCCTCAAGAACATGGGCCTGGCTGCTCTGAGCAGTGACAACACGGCCTCTCTGATAGGGCAGCTCCAGAATGTCTCCAGGAAGGAGAACTGTGTCCGCAGTGTCATTGGTGAGTATGCCCATCGGGGCGAGAATGGTGAGGGGAGAGGCCGATCCTGACCCCTGGACCTTGCTCACCGAGCCATTTAACAATAAAAAGCATGATAACTGGGCAAGTCGCTGGGTAGGCTTTAGTTTTTGCAAAATGCTGGGTTGAAAATATATCCCTTTTAGTTTAAAGACTGCCTCTGTGAGGTTTCCCTAGTGGTCCAGTGGTTAAGACACCATGCGTCCACTGCAGGGGGCTCGGGTTTGATCCCTGGTTGGGGAAGTTCTGCATGTTATGAGGTGCAACCAAAATTTTTTAAAAAGATAAAAAATAAAGGCTGACTCTATTGGTTCTAAGGGAGATTTGCACCAGCAATTCATGGCTTCTCGGTGTGGAGTACCGTCCAACTTGGTTAAGTCATCCTTGGCTTTCTGGGTCATTCCTGACAGGGGCTTCCCAGGTAGCTCAGTGGTAAAGAATCTGCCCACCAAAGCAAGAGCCACAGGAGTTGTGGGTTCTATCCCTGGGTCATGAAAATCCCCTGGAGGAGGAAATGGCAATCCACTCCAGTATTCCTGCTAGGATAATCCCATGGACAGAGGAGCCTGGCAGGCTACAGTTCATGGGGTCACAAAGATTCGACATACTGTCCAACTTGGTTAAGTCATCCTTGACTTTCTGGGTCATTTCTGGGTCCAAGATATGTGACACCCACCCACTGCCAACAAGAAACTGATGCTGAATTAGGTTGGGGGACATGTTCCCGAAGCAGGGATTTCACCTCTCCCATGTTGAACTGGCATCTGTGAACTTGACTTTGCTCTTAACCTCAGCCATCTGAAGGGTCAGTTGAAGATCCTCCTGTTGTATCAGACACTTAGATCTATCTGATGGATACTTAAGGAATCTTTTGAATAGAAATGTACTAGCCCAGTAGTTTTGGATCTTTGTTCTGTCCTTAGGAGCTGGGTCCCTTTCCAAACAAAACAGATGTCCTTATCTCTAGGTGTGTGGGTGGGTCAGTGCGTAGCTCATTTAACTTTGAAGTTAGGAGTGCGGGGGGGGGCAGTGTTTCTCCCTGAAGGTTGTTTGCCTTCTCCCTTCTCACTGTCTTTCCCTGCTCGCAGATCAGCGGATCCACTTGTTCCTCAAATGCTGTTTGGTTCTTGGTGTGCAGCGGTCTCTGCTGGACCTCCCTGGAGGCCTTACCCTCATCGAGGCAGAGCTGGCAGAACTGGGCCAGAAGTTCGTCAGCCTCACACACCACAATCAGCAGGTGTTCGGCCCCTACTACACGGAGATCTTAAAGGGCCTCCTGCCCCCAGCTCAGGTGCTGGAGACAGAAGTGGCGTCTCTCTGATGGCGCTGGCTCCAGGCCCTGGCACCTTGGACCCAGCAGAGAAGCCCACCATCTTCTTGGGGTGACATCACCAAGCAGCGCGCCCTCTCCCCGTCTGCAGCCAACACACCATGCTGCAGTGACCAAGTGTGTAAACTCCAGCTGGCCCAAATGCATCCACTAATAAACTTCTGAACTGCAAGCAAACCCCTGCTTCGTGTGCTGCAGCCGTGGCCAGGCCCTGTGTCCTCAGCTGCCCACTGGCTGAGCAGCCAGCAGGCCCCAGTTTTTCCTCCAGGTGCCGCCTTCAGCACATGGAGCGGAGAAGCTAAGACACCCGGTACTATCACTCTTCTCTGAGGGTAAAGTTATTTCTCTAAGGGCTCTAAGAACTCTGTAGAATTACCTAAAATGTGAGTATTTTTCTGGAATTTAGGAGTTTGTTTTGTCTAATTCAGTTCGAATTTGGGCATGATTGAAAAAAATTATTGGAAACTTCATTTCCAGGACCAAATTCCCCTGAAGATTTCATTCTTTTTTTTAAAAAAAGTTTTATTTGGCTGCGCTGGGTCTTAGCTGTGGGATCTTTAGTTGTGGCAGGCTGACTCCCAGTTGTGGCATTTGGGATCTAGTTCCCTGATCAGAGATCAAACCTAGGCCCCCTGCTTTGGGAGCTGGGAGTCTTAGCCACCAGACCACTGGGAACGTCTGGCTGAAGGTTTCAAATGATGCAATAAGGGGTCCGGAGGAGTAAGCGCCTCAGCTCCCTCTGCTGGGGCAGGTCCTGAAGCAGGGTGCCAGCTGGGGCCGGGAGAGAGTGGGTGTTGACTGCTCATGCGTCCTGCTGAGCACACGTCTGATCATGAGATCTCCCTGCCCAGTGTCCAGAGTCCAACTTGGCCAGTTGGGTCAGTGGTTTGGTCAGGGTTATTCTTGGTCCTGTTCTCTAGCTGAGGGGCGGAGCGAGTCTCCTGTCCCCTCCTCTCTAAGCTTAGAAGCACCCTGTTCTTCCCTGCAGAGGCCACGTGGGCATCCTGGGCGGATGAACCTCCTCCCTTCTCCCCACTTCCAGGCTGGGACTCTCCCTGGCAGCTCTGCTGTTGGCATCACAAACGAGAGCTGTTCTAGGAAGCACTTGGGCCTGTTGAGATCCAGCCCCTCATCCCCGGGCTGACTGTGGCTGGTCAGCCCTGACCTAGCATGGCTGAAATGAGGAAATAAATGTTTCCTTCAGATTAGGCCCTGTTTTTGGCAGAGGACAAGAGAGAAAACGGGGATTCACCTATGTGCTCTCAAGGTACTGTGATGACAGCCCACATTCTCACCGTTTCAGGAGACAGAGGGAGCTAAGCATAGCACACTTGGTCTTAGAAGAACATCCGAAGGGGGATTTGAGTTCCATTAGCCCAGGGTCTCTCCTGATTGCCTTCTTAAAAAAAAATTATTTACTTATTTGACTGAGCCGGGTCTTAGTTGCGGCTCTCGGGATCTTCAGTTGTGGTGTGCTAACTCTTAGTTTGGGCATGTGGGATCTAATTTCCTGATCACGGCTCGAACTGGGCCCCCTGTATTGGGAAGGTTAGCCCCTGGACCACCAGGGAAGTCCCTGATTGCTGTTCTAGAGTAGAGCCTCGTTGGTGACAGAGCCAAGCCACCAACAGACCTTTGCTGTGACCAGAAAAGCTGGAGGTCCTGGGTGGTTCAGTTTCCAGTCTTGTAGCTAGACAGCCTCAGGATGGGGAAGCCAGGCTCGGGGGTGCACTGGAAGTATTAAATAAACAACCAGGCTTGCCTAGACAGCTTCTCTGATTTGCAACTGTTTGAATTTGTTAAAAATCCATATTTTGGAAGCCTCGTTATCTTAGAGGCTGAAGTGCTCTGAAAGGGTTCCTAAGAAGAGGACTGCCTGATTGGTGGGTGCAGATACTGGGCTGACAGTAGACCTGTACTTCATAATTAAGATCTAGAATGATCAATTTCTTAGAAGTTTTGAGTTTATTTTCCTGTGCTTCCATGTGGAAGAGACAGGGATCCTGACCTCAACAAGGAAAGATAGGTTCATTCAATCCTGCCCACAGTTTGAAGGACGCATACTTCAATTTCTCACTTCCCCTTCCCCTTCCCCAGCCCCTGGTGGCCACTGATCTACTTTCTATTTCAGTGGATTTTCTGACTCCAGATAAATGGAATCATAATATGATGTCTTTTGTGACTGACTTCTGTCACTTACTGTGTGTTTAAGATTCATCATATTGTAGTGTATTTCAGAACTTAATTCCTTTTTATGGCTAAATAATATTCCATTTTTTTCCATTTATTTTTATTAGTTGGAGGCTAATTACTTTACATCATTGCAGTGGTTTTTGTCATACATTGAAATGAATTAGCCATGGATTTACATGGCTTTATAATATTCCATTATACAGATACATCGGGGGCGTCCCTGGTGGCTCAGATGGTATAGAATCTGCCTGCAATGCAGAAGAGCTGGGTTCAACCCCTGGGTTGGGTAGGTCCCCTGGAGAAGGAAATGTAACCCACTCTGGTATTCTTGCCTGGAGAATTCCATGGACAGAGAAGCCTGGTGGGCTACAGTCTGTGGGGTTGCAAAGAGTTGGACATGACTGAGTGACTAACACTGTATAGATATATCAAATGTTTATTAGATGGACATTTGGATTATTTCACCTCCTGACTTTTGTGAACAGTGCTGCTGTGAATGCTTGTGTGCAAGTTTTTGTTTGGACACTTGTTTTCAATGCTTTTGAGGATATACCCATATAGCCAAGAGTAGCATTGGTGGGTCACACGGTAATTCTATAGGTAATTATTTAGAAACTACTAAACTGTTTTCCACAGTGGCTGTACCACTTTATATTCCCATCAGCAATGTATGAGGGTTCCAATTTCTCCACATTTTCACCAACACTTGTTTTATTTTTTCTTCCTTTTTTTAACTTACAGGCGTCTTAGTGGGTATGAAGTAGAATCTCCCTGTGGCTTTGACTTGCATTTCCCTAACGGCTAGTGATGTTGAGCATTTTTTTATATGGTAATTGGGCGTTTGTATATCTTTGGAGAAATGTCTGTTTTAGTCATTTGCCCGTGTTTGAATTGGGCTGTTTTGTTATCGTTGAGTTGTGGGAATTCTTTATATATTTTGGATACTAGATGCTTGTCAGATATGTAATTTGAAAATATTTTCTTTGATTCTGTGTGTAGTCCTTTCACTTTCTTTATCATGTTCTTTGCACAGAATTTTTAAAATATTTATTTAGCTGCCCCAGGTTTTAGCTGCAGCATGTGGGATCTAGGTCCCTGACCAGGGACTGAACCTGGCCACCTGCATTGGGAGTGTAGAGTCTTAGCCACTGGACCCCCAGTTTTAATTTCGATGAAGTCTAGTTTACCAGGTTTTGTTTTTATGAATTGTGCTTTGAGTGTCAAGTCTAAGAACTGTTTGTCCAGGCCTAGGTCCCAAAGATTTTCTCCCGTGTTTTTCTGCTTAAAGTGTTATAGTTTTATGTTTGAAGTTAATTTTTATGTAAGATGTGAGACTTAGGTTAAGATACTGTTTTTTTCTTTTAACTATGGATATCCAATTGCTCCAGCATCATTTGTTGACAAGGCAACCTTTTCCTATGTTGACTTTCTTTTGCACCTTTGTTAAAAAAAAAATCAGGCATTTTTGCATGGGTCTCTCTTCTGTTCACTGATCTGTGTAGTTTTCTTTCTGCCATACCACACAATATTGATTGCTATAGCTGTATAGTAAGTCTTGAAAATTGGGTAGCCTGATTCCTCAGATTTTATTCTTTTTCAAAGTTATTTTGGCTCTTCTAATTCCTTTGCCTTCTACAGACTAATCTTGCCTATGTCTATTAAAAAAAAAAAAACCATGCTGAGATTTTGATAGGTATTATGTTAACCTGTGTATCAATTTCCAAAGAATTGATATCTTTACTCTGTTGAATATTCCATGAATAGTACCTATCTCTCCAGTTACTTAAATCTTCTTTGAGTTCTTTCATTAGAATTGTGTAGTTTTCATCATACAAGTCCTGAACATATGTTATTAGAGTTATGCCTAATAATTTTATTTTGTTGAGTGATTATAAGTGGTGTCTTATTTTTAACTGTGGTATCCACATGTTCATTTCTAGTATACAGAAATACAACTGATTTTTTGTTTCTTTTGGCTGCACCATCTGTGGCTTGTGGGATCTTAGTTCCCTGACCAAGGACTGAATTTTGAACCCAGGCCCTCAATGTGAAGTCCTGACTGCCAGGGTGTTCCCTTAACTCACTTATTCCAACATTTTTTTTTGAGTGGGTTCCTTGGAATTTTCTTCATAGACAATCAAGGATTGTCTATGTGATCTATGTGTCTATGTAATCTGGAAATAGGCACAGTTTTATTTCTTCTTTTCTGTTATGAATGCCTTTTATTTTCTTACCTCATTGCACTGGTTAGAACTCTTATTTTAAGACTGGTAATAGTCTTTCCTTGTTCCCAGTCTTAGGGGGAAAACATTGTATTTCACCATTAAACATAATGTTGTAGGTTTAAAAAAAAATATTTGACTATGATGGGTCTTGGTTGAGGCATGCAGGCTCTTTAGTTGTGGCATGTGGGATCTAGTTGCATGACCAGGGATTGAACCCAGGTCCCCTGCACTGAAGTATTGAGTCTTAGCCTCTAGACCACCAGGGAAATGCCCAATGTTGTAGATTTTTGAGGATGCTCTTTATCAGGTTGAAAAAGTTCTCTGTATTAGTTTTCTTTTGCTACTGTAACAAAGTACTACAAGTTTAGTGCCTTGAGACAATGCACATCTATTATCCTACAGTTGTGAATGTGAGAAGTCCGTAGTGGGTGTTATGGGCTAAAATGAAGGTGTAGGCAGAGCTGCTTGACGCTTAGGGATGTATTCATTTCCTGTGGCTGCTGCAGCAGATGACTACAAATGGAGTGGCTTAACAAAAGCAGAAAGAAATACTCTCACAGTTCTGGAGGCCAGAAACCAGAGATCAGTCTGTCGTGTTGAAAGAAGCATGCTGGCAGGGCTATGTCCCCTTGGAGGCTCTGGGGGAGGATGCATGCCTTGTCCCTTTCAGCTCCTAGCGGCTGCTAGGTTCCTTTGCCTGGGGCTCCATGGACACCTCAGGGTCACATGGTCATCTTCTGTGTGTATTTAATCTCCCTCTGTCTCTCTCTCATAAGGGTATTTGCCATTAGATTTAGGGCCCGAGATCCAACCAGTCCATCCTAAAGGAGATCAGTCCTGGGTGTTCATTGGAAGGACTGATGCTGAAGCTGAAACTCCAGTACTTTGGCCACTTCATGCGAAGAGTTGACTCATTGGAAAAGACCCTGATGCTGGGAGGGATTGGGGGCAGGGGGAGAAGGGGACGACAGAGGATGAGATGGCTGAATGGCATCACCGACTTGATGGACATGAGTTTGAGTAAACTCCGGGAGTTGGTGATGGACAGGGAGGCCTGGCGTGCTGCGATTCATGGGGTCGCAGAGTCGGACACGACTGAGCGACTGAACTGAACATAATCCAGGATAATCTCCCATTTTAAGATCATTAACTTAATCACATAGGTAATTGTTATGGATCGTGTCTCCCCCACCCCACCACCAAGTCCCTACATTGAGTCCAAATCCCCCCATACCTCATTTGTAAACAGGGTCACTGTGGGTGTAATTATTTAATGTGAGGTTAGACTGGAGTTGTGTGGACCTCGGATCCAATCTGTCTGGTGTCCTTATGAAAAGACGTGTCACATGAAGAGACAAATACAGAAGCACAGCAATGTAAAGAATCAGGGAGAACGCCATCTGCTTCAGGCTAGCAGAAGCTGGAAAACAGGCGTGGGGCACATTCTCCTTCACAGCCCTTAGAGGAAACTAAGTTGACTGCCTCCTTGATTCCAGACTCAGAGACTTCAGGTAAAATAAATGTCCTGTCTGTTTAGGCCCCAGTTTGTGGTGCTCTGTTATAGCAGCCCTGGGAAACGAATACAGAAACATTTATAGGTTCCAGCATTAATAATCAGGACCTAATATCTTTGGGTGGCCATTATTTGGTCTCCCACCAAGGAAGAAGTTATTTCCTTGACTTTTTCCAGTTCTAGAGACAGTGCACATTCCTTGGCTGGTAGCCG